GGAATTAATAGAATGAGAACTCACTCACTACCCCCACCCCCCAGGGAGAGCATTAATCCATTCATGAGGGATCCGCCCCCATGACTCAAACAGCTTCCAACACTGACACATTGGGGATGAGATTTTCACATGAGTTCCGGGAGGACAATACATCCAAACTCCATCAGGGTCCCAAGGAAGTCCAAAACTAGCAAGGCAAATTCCATTAGACTTTAAGGTTCAGGAATAATCCTTTTTGGTTTGAAATTCTGCCCTCTAGGCCACTGGATAGGCAGGCCTGCCTTCTGGGCTCACTGGGGAGGCAGCATCACCCTCTCAGCCCTGGGCAGCAGCCATACCTTTGAGGCAGTGAACAGTGGCAGCTTGACCCTGTGGAACCTAGGAGACAGCCTTGTTCCCCAGACTTGTACCCTCTGGGCCCATGGTGAAAATGGCAGGCAGCCCTGCTGATCTCTGAATCACCTTTGGAGTTATTCTTCCCTTTTCTTAAAGGAAAATGTGTCCTCACAGCCAGATAGCTCTATTGACTCATCCTTTAGAGTCCCCAAAGTCCAACAGCCTTCCTTCATTTTTTCCCCCCATCTTTGTACTCTTTAGTCCAAGCTGACAGTACCTGTGCTGGTGTAATTCCTTCTTTGTTCCTGGCTTCTACTGAGATAGCTGAATAAATGTGTAAATTGCACCTACGATCTCTATCAAATGATTTTCCAGCTACACCCTTGGTGTGCTCTCCAGAACATGCTTTTTTATTTTTTACAATATGGATAGGCTGAGAATTTTCCAAATCTTCAAGTTCTGGCTCCGTTTTGTTTAACAATTCCTTCAATTTATCTCTCTTCCCACATTTTACTAAAGCAATTAGAAGAAACCAGGCCACACCTTCAACATTTTGCTTAGTAATCTCCCCAGCTAAAAATCCAAGTTCATCACTTAACTTCTACTTGCCAAAAACAGTAGAACACAATTTAGCCAAGTTCACCGCCATTTTATAACAAAGACAGCCTTTCCTTCAGTTTCCAATAGCATGTTCCTCATTTCCATCTGAGATCTCACCTTTAATGTCCATTTTGCTACCAACAGTTTACTCAAGGCAAACTAGGCTTTTTCTACCATGCACCTCAAAACCCTTCCAGCCTCCACTCATTACCCAGTTCTAAGGCCACTTCTACATTTTTAAGTTATTTATCATAGGAGCAGTCCACTTCTTGGTACCAAAATCTGCATTAATCTGCTAGGGCTGCCATAACAAAATACTAGCAATCGGGCAGCTTAAACAACAGAAACGTGTTGGTTCTGGAGGCTGGAAGTCCAAGTGCAAGGTTATAGCAGGTTGGTTTCTCTCAGGCCTTTCTCCTTGGCTTGCAGATGTCGGTCTTCTTGTTGAGTCCTCACATGGCCTTTTCTCTGTGTGCGTGCCCCTGGTATCTCTTCCTCTTCTTATAAGAATACCAGTTTTATTAGATTAGGACCCCACCCTTATGAATTTATTTAACTTTGTTAAAAGAGGTAATTAATTAATTAACATATTTAAAGAGGTAAATAATTAATTAATTTAAAGGCCCTATCTCCAGATAAGTCACATTGGGAGTTAGGGTTTCAATACATGAATTTTGGAGGAACACAACTTAGTCCATAACAATGTCTTTGAAGCACAAAACTTAAAATAAGTACACTCACTATTATCTACAGCCATCACTGCCATCATCTCCAGAACTTTTTCATCTTCCCAAACTGAAACTCTGTACCCATTAAACACTAACTTCCTTTCCCCTTTTCCCCCAGCCCCCTGCAACCACCATTATACTTTCTGTCTGATATACCTTGTCCAAATACCACTCGTTGAAAAGATGATTCTTTCCACCACTGAATTATCTTGGCATCCTTGTTGGAAATTGCATATAAATGTATAGGTTTATTTCTGAACTCTCAATTTTATTCCACTGATGTACATTTTTCATTATTCCCGTACCCCCACTATCTTGATTACTATAGATTTGTAGTCAGTTTTGAAACTGGAAAGGTTTCACCTTTGCTCTTTTTCATGACTATTTTGGCTATTCTGGGTGCTTTGTATTTCCATATGAATTTTAGGATCAATTTTTCAATTTCTGCAAAAAAAAAAAAAAAGCACCTGTGATTTTGCTAGCGATTACACTGAATCGGTAGAACAAATTGGGAAGTACTGCCATCTGAACAATATTAAGTCTTTTGCCCCTATTTCTTGATGAACTGCCTACATAGATGATGATTTAGCTTAATCAACCCTGTACCTTGTGTCCTCTTGTCCTCTCAACATATACTATATAATTTCTTGTTCCTTCACTTGTCACCTTTCCAGCTTCGAGCAATATATTGTAACAACCATTTCTGTTTCCATCAGCTATAGACATAATCTCTTAAATGCTTCTACCTTTACTTTTGTCTTTCTCCTTTATCTTCCATATCTTAAACTATCAGCTGTACTTTTACTATTAGGTTGTCATCATTCGTGTAATTTATAAACTATGCTGTAACTATAGCAAGATTACCTGTAATTTATTAATAGGTTGGGTCTAAAAGTTGAATGGCCCCCCAAACAGCATTTTCTAAGCTTTCTATCACAGTAATTAATTATTCAATTGAATTCTCTTTTCCAGCAGATTTCTCTCTGAGAACTCCTGTCCTTCCATACCAAAATAGCCAAACTCTTGAGACTTCCCTTTACCATTTTCCTGGATTGGTTCTAGTGATTTCTGGATATGCTGTCACATACCCTGTTTTCTCCCTCATTTTGCTTGAGCACATCTTTAAGTAAGTCTTTAAAAAAAAGTTTATGTTGGAGGTTAACTTTATGAGTCCCTGCATATCCCCAAATGTTTTCATTCTCTGAAGTTTTTCTGTTTCCTTTACAGTCACATTTTCTGTTTATCTTCCCCCCATCTTCCATGCTGGAGACTTCCCTTAAATGTCTAATAGTCCTTTGTTATCTGTTCATATTTAAGATGTGGTTGGAATGCTGCTTAGGAGTCTTGTGAACTTGGTAGGGTCTTGCCAATTTGCCCAACTTCACTTTAGGGTGAATGGGTAGGAAAACAGCTATTGTACCAGAATGAAGAATGATTTACTATTAGGCATTTAACACTCACAACACCTGCCCAAGTTCACCCTAGAGATTATGAGAACTCTTCATTTTTAGCCTGGGATAAATGCTTAGCTATTATATCTGAGATATAGGGAGGGTTCTGCTGTTCCACTTACTGTATTTAGTCTCCCTGTTTTCAGCCTTGCTTTTCACCTTTGCTCTGTTTTGTCTGTCTCCAAATCTGTCTCTTTAAAGCACTTTTGGGCAGACAGTCCCCTTCTTTGCCTGTTGTATCCTCTGCACTCATTCTACATTATGGTTTCCTCCATTTTGTTTAGTCAGATCACACTTTCTTATGTCAAATTTTAAAAAAAATAACCTTCTGATGGCTCCCTTCTCATTTTCTATTTTGTATATATCATTTTTATTTCTTTATCATCATTTAAAAGGGTCTCAGGAAGAAGTGAAAATAAAGGCATGTGCTCAGTTAGTCAGCTTTAATAAAAAAATCCTGAATATAGGTTAAAAAAAATATCTGGGGCACTGTAAAAAAGAAGAAAAGACAATCAGGGCAGAGGCCAAAAAAAAAAAAAAAATCTGGATCTGTGATATCAGAGTATTCCTGTTTCTAACTTAGTGCTTAGCATCTTAACTCTCCAGATGCACACATTTTTAGGGATATAGTGGATCTCAGACAACTAGTTCAAACCTCATTTTAAAGTCAAGTAGGACCCACAAGTAGAGTGAGTTGCCCGAGGTCACACAAGTAGACAGTGGCAGAATGGAGAATAGAAAGATAAACTGACTCCCAGTTTACTTTTCTTTTACCTCACTACACCCTCCAGAGTAAGAGATCATGAGTCAGATGAGAAAGGTCTTGAAAAATAGTCAAAGAACGAATGTCCTTTCCTGGGTAAACAGCCGGATGTCCCATGAAATAAGCTATATTACGGCTTGTTTCGCAGCTACATAGTCTCAGGCAGCACGTCCTAGGTTGGAAGCACAGAAGGGGGAGGCTGTACAGCAGGCCCAAGAACTGCAGCGACACAAGCGTATGGTGATCCTGGAAGGAGCAATTACAGAGCCTGGGCAGGATGGACCAGTAGAATTCGGTGAGTGAATAAATGAATACTGAGGAAAGACGGGAAAACGTTAGTGGGAGTATGACGGAGCCTAAAGTGATTAATTACGGTGGTGGGAGGTAAGCATGAGTAAAACGATGACTTTAATCTGCTCTCAACTCACGGGCATTTATTTTAATAAACACTGGAAGGCTGGGAATAAATATAATTCACACCACTCTTACTTTCTTGGTTTCGAGATTGCTTATCCACATTCTTAAATTAATGGCTGCAGTTACGCTCCTTGCATGGCTCCTACAAGAGAAAACTGAAGGCGATTCAGTACAAGAACGCCGGGCTGCGTGGCGGGCTCGCCTCGCCGTCGTGAGCTCTGCACCCAACCGCTAACGGAGCACAGTGCGGGGCCCAGCACGCGCACACCCGTTCCTGCCCACGCTCTTCTCTCCCGGCTTAAGCGCTGCGGAGAACGTCGTTCACTGGCGAGGGTCTTCTGCGACGCCCCTGTGCACGGCTCCAGAGTCTCGGATCACACTGCTACCTTTCGCGACCACATTTCGCAAAAGCTGAGGCTGGGGGAGAAGCTAAATCTCCCTGGACAAAGGGTGCCACTGCAGCCGCGAATCTAGTGACAGTGCCGGAGGCCCCCCCTTCGGCGGCGGCGGTCCTGCGTTTGGTCAACGGCCCGGCCAAGTGGGGGGTGGGGCGGCGGAAGGTTTGGGAAGACAAGACCCCGCTCTCCGGGATGCCAGCAGTCCGCTTCCTACGGCAAGCAGGAGGAGTCAAGCGCCGCCTCTCCGCGCTCGCACCTACCTCCTTGCTGTGGCTGTGGTGGCGGTGGCAGTGGCGGCGGCGTCCAGGCGGCAGCAGCAGCCCTGAGGAGGGTGAGACGGCCGCGGCGGCGGCACTGGGAGGCCGGGCGGGACCTAGAGCTTCCAGCCTGTCGCTGGCGCTGAGGCTTTTCCTTTCCTTGCCGGCGTCTTGCTCACGGCCCTGGCTGGGCAGGGCAGAGCGCCCCCGGGGAGGGGCGGAGCTGTAGGTGAGGCTTCGGGACCGCCTCCCCCTCCTCTCCCGGCCGGGGGGTGGGGAGGCATTCCTGTTTCTAACTTAGTGCTT